CATTAATACTTATAAATGTATTAATACTTTACTTTCTTCTTTTTTTTTTTTTTAGATGGAGTCTTGCTTTGTCGTCCAGGCTGGAGTGCAGTGGCTTGATCTCAGCTCACTCCAACCTCTGCCTCCTGGGTTCGGGTGATTCTCTTGCCTCAGCCTCCTGAGTATCTGGTATTACAGGCATGTGCCACCATGCCCAGCTAATTTTTTGTATATTTTTTTTTTTTTTTTCTACGAGACGGAGTTTCGCTCTTGTTACCCAGGCTGGAGTGCAATGGCGCGATATTGGCTCACCGCAACCTCCGCCTCCTGGGCTCAGGCAATTCTCCTGCCTCAGCCTCCTGAGTAGCTGGGATTACAGGCACGCGCCACCATGCCCAGCTAATTTTTTGTATTTTTAGTAGAGATGGGGTTTCACCATGTTGACCAGGATGGTCTCGATCTCTTGACCTCGTGATCCACCCGCCTCGGCCTCCCAAAGTGCTGGGATTACAGGCTTGAGCCACCCGCCCGGCCAATTTTTTGTATTTTTAGTAGAGACGGGGTTTCACCATGCTGGCCAGGCTGGTCTCAAACTCCTGACCTTGTGATCCACCCACCTCAGCGTCCCAAAGTGTGGGGATTACAGGCGTGAGCCACCACGCCCAGCCTGAGATCTTTTTTTATTTACTTAAATTTTTTTTTTTTTTTTTAGATAGAGACAGGGTCTCATTATATTGCCCGGGCTGGTCTTGAACTGCTGATCTCAAGTGATCCTCCCGCCCCGGCTTCCCAAAGGGCTGGGGTTACAGGCGTGAGCCACCACGCCCAGCCGGAATGTATTACTTTCCTAAGGACAGAAATCAGTGTGATCAGCCTGCTTCCGTATTTAAGCTGGAGTGGGTGTGCTGAGCAGAAGCTCCTGTGGGGCCAGAGGTTGCCCTGGATCTCCCCTTCCCACTCCTGGGGTGGGCCGGAGCTCTACCCCAGCCCCTTGGCCCCCACACTCAAGACCCAGCAGGCCAGAGGTCATCAGCTGGAGGCCTCAGGGGTGGGCATGGAGCTGGAGGCAGCCCTCCTGGGCACTGGGGAAGGAACGGCCTTCCTTGGCAAGAAGGTTTCGGGATGTCTGAGCCTTGGTGGCCATGAAGCCCAGCCTGGTGCCCTAGGCCGGGCCAACAGAGACGCTTCTGTCCCAGGATCAAGGTGGCAGGTAGCTGGATGCATGGGGACAGTGCCCCCCCCTCAGCTCAGCCCTTTGGAGGCCAGACAGAGCGAGGCCCTGACAGACCGCACCTGTTGTGAAAGGCAGCCCCCTGGCCCTAAGGGTTGAACATCCTGGGGTGTGGTTTTCCCCTTTCTGCACTCTACCTGCCCTGTGTCCTGCCCCTGCCTCCCTGTGAGCTGGAAGCTGCACTGTGGAAGGACAGGAGTCGGGGCTGGAACTCAAGGCCAGCTGGGAGTAGCGTAGCCCGTGCCCACCTGCAGCCCCGCCTCTCAGCACAGCCCCTCAGCCCACGCCTTGCGCCCTTTCTCCTAGCTCCTCCTTCCCAAGTCCGAGAGGCAGGCCGAGCAGTGTGGGAGCAGCCCAGGCAGGAGCCCCAGACCCCCCTGCTCAGGGGGCACTACTGGCACCCAAGAGGCTGGTGGGGAAGGGCCCTGTTGGTCCCCCTGTTCACCGGGGCTTCCAGAGACAGAGTAGGCCCGGGGAACAAGGCCTCCGACCTGCGAGACCCTGCTGGTGGCCACCGGCTCCTGTGGCACCCCCACAGCCTATAAGTGCCTAGGGGTGACTGGACCTTCCCTGCTTTCTAGGGGAGGGTGACTGGGACACTGTCATGTCGGGAGCACCTCAGTGCACAGATTAGCTCCTCCCCTGTCCCTTGGAGACGGGTGGGCACCTTCCTAGGTGGCACTTTCCCAGGTGGCACCTAGCAAAGTGTGCTGCTGCCCCACACGCCCTCCCTAGGCCTCTAGGCTAACCCCCAAGTGCCTCAGACCTGCAGGCCCAGCAAGGCTCCATCATTGCCTGGCCTTGGGGCGCTGCCTGATCCTGGGTCTCCTCTTCAGCTCAGGGGCTTCCCCACAGCTCCTGAGTCCAATGTATGGGCCCCGTCCCTGCTCCTCTCCTCTCTGCCCACACCTCTCCGGGGTGCCCTGTCCACTCTCATAGCCCTCAGGAGCTTCCTCTCATGGCAACCCCAAAATACCCCAGGGCCCAGACCGTCAGTCCTGCTTGGCTGACTCGGGGCTGCCTCAGCTTCTCTTTCCCTCATCCTCAACCCCCATGTCCAGTGGCAAGTCCCGTGGTCCCTGAGCCCTAGCAGTGCCCCCAGAGGCTTAGTGAGCCACTGCCATCCTGGTGTTCTGCCCACCCCAGTGCCTGCATGGAGCAGATGCAGGTGAGTGATGGGCTTCAGGAACAGCTGGTGCCACCAGCCTGGCCCCAGGCCCTTGTCCCTGCTGCCCATGCTCCACGTACAACTGGAGGGGCCTTCCACCTTTCTGCCGTGGTCAGCACCAGCCTGGCTTGTGCTCCAGCCCTGGCCGGGCCTCTGTCCCCTCTTCCTTGGCCTGGAATGTCATTCAGGCATTACATGCTCTGGTGGTCCTGGTGTGGCCTCCCTGGCAAAGCCCTACCTGCACACACTCTCGGCTCCGCACACACGGCTCCTTCAGGGCTCTGTGCACCTGCTGTGCTGTCCGGGAGCTGGCCGCCTTCTTCCTGCATTTCTCCTCCTCCATTGACCTCCCGGGCTCGCCTTGGCCATCCACTCCCCAGTGACCGAGGCTGGGCTCGCCTTGACCGTCTACTCCCCAGTGACCACCTGGGTTGGACGAAGCCCATCACTCACCAGGGCTACCCAGAGCTTGTCATTGCTGGGACTGCAGCTACCCCACATCTTCATCTGGAGCATCCCAGGTCAAGGGGCAGAGGTCACCACCTGCCAGCCCCTGCTGTGGTCTCGTGCCCAGCCCAGGCACACGGAGGCACGGGGAAGGTCTGAGGTGTCCTTGGCCTTCACCAGGCCACAGCCAAGGGGGTGAGGACAGCAGGCAGGCTGTGGCTAGAGGGCTATGGGGCTGGGGGCCTGGGGAGTAGAGCCTCCCACCCCAGAGGGAGGGCAAGGCCTTACCCAACTTTCCTGTCAGGCCAGGACTGCAGGCCTCCAGCCCCTGACTCAGTGCTGGGAACTCAGCGGAACCTCCCGGAGGACTGGGGAGGGGCATAGGGCTTCTGACAGTGCCCATCCCTTGCCCCTCGCCATGACACTGGCCCCCATTGCCACACTGTCGGTGGGCCAGAGTCCAGCCCCATCCCTTCAAGGGACGACAAGAGCCCCTTAGCTTCCCAGCCTCAGTTTCCTCATTTTTACCCCGAGAGGGGTGGACTTTGTGTTCTCTAAGGGACATGGTTACAGTGTGAAAATGCCATGCGTCCCTCAGGGTCCCCCTGGCTCCTGAGCACCTCCTGCTCACATGCCGCCGTCCCTGCAGTGGACCAGACCACTAAGGACGATGCATGCCAGGGCACTCTGGACCCTGTCCTTCTGGACGAAGCCGGCCTTGGGAGGACCCCCTTTGGTTCCCACCTGCTGGGGGGCACGACCTGTTCCACACTAGCCTCGAGGGAGCATCCCCCAGTCCTGCCTGCGTCCACACTGGGATCCCTGGCAGCGCTGGCCCTGCCTCCACGAGGCTACGGTAGCAGTGGCTTCGGGGCATGTCTGCTGCCACCGTCGGCTCGTGGTCCCATCTGGACAGTGCCAGTCTTGCTGGTCTCTTCCTGGAGGGTCATCCTGTCCAGAGGAGCCTCCCTGCCCCCAGCCCTCAGCCCACACGGCCAGTACCCTGTCGCAGGGCAGCCCTAGCTTCTGGGGACAAGCTGTCTGGCACATGGAGTGTGTGGCGGACGTCTCCCACTGAACTCCCATCCGTGCCCTCCTTACCCTGGGACCCAGGCCAGGAGTCAGTGCCCACTCCCCTCCTCCCGGAGCAGCCGGAGGCCCGGGAGCAGGGCATGCACACTGGCAGCAGCCCCTTTCTTTTCTTGGCTCCTCTCCTGCCGCAGGGCTTGGGAGCCAGGCAGATGCAGAAGTTGCCTCTGCAAGCCTGACGCGGGCATTCCCCAAACTTGGCCCGTCCAGGTGGGGTCCCCTCACACCTCTTGTCCTGGATCCCTGGGCTTTTACGACCCCGGAAGAGGCCTGGAGGCCTCAGGCAAACAGCATTTGGGGGCTCCCACGGTGAGGTCAGCCACTGGCACCCGGGGTCCGGGGCTCCTCCAGCATTGCCCCAGGAAGTGGGTGGGAGGAGGCTGCAGGTGCCCAGCTGCAGGCCCAGGGAGGGGCTCCCACGGTGAGGTCACCGGCACCCGGGGTCCTGGGCTCCTCCAGCATTGCCCCGGGAGGC